TGGTCACGTGAGGTTTTGTTTTCAGATTTTTCCAGTGCTTCAGCTGGTCTCCAGGTTTCTCTTTCCCTAGGAGAACTTTTAAGAACAGCATGATCATGTCTAGGATGAGATGAAAAGAAAGGGTGTTTTTTCTCTTCTGTAATTTTTTTGTCTGTATTCTCAGGAGATTTGTTGTAAATAACCTCTTATTTTTTGCTCCATTGCAAATGCTTTGTAACTGTCCTAGGTGGAAATGGGAAGATGTTACTCGCATATTAGCTCGTGATTGTCAACAGATTCCAGAGGGTTTCCTGGTGTTAGCTCTGTAAGACTAATAAGGTGTTTAATGTTAAAAATTACTTAAAATGGAAGCTATTTCATAACTGTTTTGATACAAGTCAGAAAAAGCTGATAATTAACACTGTGTCAGCACAGATTTCTAGTTGCCTTCAGCTGAGGGGAACAGGGCACTTCTGTCCTCTTCTCCTCTGTCCCCCTTGTCCCTGGCTAAGCAGGATGCAAAAGCAAGTGCCTTTGTGCTCCTTGGTTTCAGGCTGTGCTTGGCTCCTGGGTTTCTGTGCCTTTGGCTGCCCAGAAAGGTGCCATCCCTGTTACAGAGTGCCTGGGAGGGTAGCGCTGGCAGTGGAGAAGGGAGACGTTTGCTAGCACAGCTACTGCAGGATTATGCTTTGCTAACTTTGAGTTTTGCAGCGTTTTGTGCTTTAAATCAAAACGAGGGCGCTTAATGCAAGTTTTCTCTATTTAATTATAGCAGCTGTATCAGTATGCATAATGGGCTGCTAATATATTACTCCGGTGGACAGTAGTATTGCTAGTGCACAAAAGGTGCTGACTCAGATATGTCCACTGTCCTTGATTTGGCATCCTTGTCTTTCCTCGGTTTAGTGTTTTATGTCACTAAGGGCTTTGATTTAAGATGCAGCACCATCATAAAAGAGGTGACAGTAACAGCTGAGCTCTCTGTTAAAATACTGTATATTATTTATTTCAAACTGTTTGGGTATATAGCCATTTTCCTGGAATTTTATTACCTTTTATTGGAGGCCATTTCAGGATTTTATTACTTTTCTCTCTGATTTTGTTTATGTGTCAGAGACTTGAAAATAAGGGAATTGCTTAGTTGTCATCTCCAGTGAGGTTTTTAGAAGATGTTGCTGAGTTTACGACTCTGCCCCAGAACAGGAGGAAGAACAGGCTAGTTGGCAGGGCTCTGGACTGGGACTGATTTTCTGTTTCTCCCCATGCTTTTTGTGTGGCTTTGCACAAATTACTTGTGTGTGCCTTGAGTCTGTAGTGGTGAAGTGAAGCTACTGCTTGCCTGTTGTGTTGAGGATGCAAAAAACTGAGCTTCAGAACGTGTAGTAATAGAGACCAATGTAGTGGTCATCATTCAGAGAGGGGAGGAAATCCAGAACTTGCTGGAAATGACTGGACTGAAAAAACTGCCCTGCGAGGAGGATGTGCCAGTGCTTAAGTAAACGCTGAGAGGTGCAGGCAACCTGGAAACCTAGTGCCACTGGCAAAACAGCACGTATGCTGTCTCTGAGTGTAGATTCAAGAATATAATCCCATTTTTGCATGACGTCTTTCTAATATTGTAGAACATGATGCCACAAATCTGCCCTGAACATGAGCATTTCTGCCTACAGGTTCCTGTCGCACAGAGCGGTGTGATCGTGCTGAGTTAGTGTTATCAGCATCACTTCCTCTGAGTCTCTGGGACATACAGCCCCTTGGTCATCAAGGCTAGGACCTCTTGCCTTCTGTGTTGATGTTTGCTTGTACTTTCTTACATCTCACTTTCAGTCCATTGAGTACAGGGCTTTCCCACAGGTTGGGGCAGGTTAATGGAGCAGAGCTTTGGGCAGGAACAGGCAGGAATTCCTGTCTTGCCAAAGAAATTAAGCTTACTTGGCCTGTGTACAGTTAGAGCTTAGTCCTGCTGTCCATGGAGATGAGTTCTGTTCTTGTACTGCTCCATAGGGAGGCTGGAAATATGATTCACCTTACAAGATTTACAATCAGGTAAGAATATTTAGCTGGAACTCCCTGCTGTATAAATGTATTAGTTGCAAAATTAGCAAAGAGCTGTTTTACCACCACCACCGGGGGCGAAGAGGGGCAGGGGGAATCAGTTGTGGAGTAGTATGAAAGGAGAATCTCAAGGTTTTTCACAGTCTGGACCAGCAGCTGAAGTTGTATGGGGATGGTATGCAGCACTAACACGTCTCTGGGCATCTGTCTGTCTGAGCAATCTTCTGAATGTTGTGACCTTCAGCTCTCAGGTGAAGGCTTCATCCAAAGTTTCTAAATTTCCATTTTGGCCACAAACGAAAATGTCTGCAGACACTTCCCATTTGGAGCTGCCTGGGTCATCTTTGTACTGTTCATAATGCCTGTAGGCAACTCTGCATGCAGAAGCAATACTAGGAAAGCATTTAATGCATTCTGGCTGTCGTCTTTTTTTAATGCAGCTGATGAACTGTAAATGAGGAGATATAAGCATCAAGTGACCAGTCAGCCCCCTGGAGACCACCAGTAATTATTTTGTGGACACAGAATGAGAAACTCTGACTTGAAATACTAATACAGGCTCTTGTCTGTCTGCTGGTTACGCAGAAAACCAGCTTTTGAGATCCTGCAGGGAAGTATCAGGAGGGCAGAATCCTTCACAAAATCCACCCCCCACACACTCCCCCCACCCCAGTATCTGTCATGAATTTGCACTGGCATATTTAGCTAAAACTCCCCTTCCTCAGCTCTCAGGCTCATGTACCCTCTCATATTAGATTCCTGGTTGGTTTCTGATGCATTATGGAGTCTTGCAGCAAAAAGAGGGAAGCCAAAACCTTTATTTTCTTCTTTCCAACAGACCCATTGCAAGCCTTTTTAATATATCTTAAAATAGCAAGCAGGGCACAAGTGCACTTTTTGCCATCTTGATGGATGAAATTTAACTACTGTTCCTTGATTTGTATTACTATCGATGTTACTAACAGTCTTTTCCGACGCTGGAACAGCCTTTGAATGCCAAATCTAAAGAGAGGAAACTGCTGCTGTGTTTTGATGATGGCAGTAGAAAATTAATATTAAAACAGATGAGATTATTTTTTTTTATCCAACTTGGCCAATTTTTGCAGGTTTGATGTTGAACTAAAGAATTGCCAAGCAGGCGTTTTCCATACAGATAATGAATTTGCATTTTATTTCCATGTTTGTTTTGGTTTTTAAAACAAGTGGTCCAGCCTACCTCCAGCACAGGACAAAACATTTACACTACATGAATTGTGACTGATTTATAGGACTTAACTGTTGCTAGCCTATTTCTCCCATTCCTCCATGAAATGCAATATGTTGTTTTAAAGGCCAGCTAAGGTGTTCTAATTTGAATGAATTGCTCACTGGGAGACCGTCAGATGTACAGAAAATTCATTTCAGTTACAGTCACTCATATCGTCTAACACTTTAAATGAAAACATAGTGTAACTAATAAATATCTCTCAGCATGGGCATGCTCTCTTTAAAGCCTGATTAATGATTCCATCCTCAGCATAAAATCCCCACCCTGTTAAGGTGAAGAATTGTTAGTTGATTTAAGCACTTCACCTGCCTGAACACTTGAGCATATCTCATAAAACATTTGATGAATGCAGTTTAGTTTTGCTTGGCTAACAAAATGTTCAGCCAGCAGCCTTTGCCCACCTCCAGAACATACCTGTGTTCCCTCCCTGGGGTCTGTTTAAATACCCGATCTGTGCTGGGCTTCCTTTGCACTGGGCTGTGCCGTGTGTTAACGGGGTTTTGCTGCGATAAGTGCTGTTGCAGGGGCTGTTGCATTTGGAGCTGTGGTTCTCTTCTGGCTCCTACAGTCTTTCTGTCATCCCTGTGAGATATATAGCACTTTATTTAAATAAAAAAAACAAAACAAAACAAAACAAAAAACCCATGGTTTGTTGAAATTCATTCCCTATCATAACAATATTTTCATTTTGGTTAGGTTCATTCTACCAGTGGCACCTGTGTGCAAAGGGCTTTATTTTCTATGAGAAAGGGGAACTGATAACAGCCAGATCTGGTGGGTCTTGACCAGTATTCCCTTGCTCTTCCAGGCAGGGACAGAGGCACATTTGCTTATACGTTCTCTTGAGCTGACTTCAACAAAATATCTCTGTTACCCAAATCTCAGTCTGCTAATTGCTCTGTTCTTGAGGCAGTTGTCAGCACTGGCCTCATCGCAGGAACATGGTTTTGCCTTTGGAGCCCTGGACAGGCATAGCCTCTGTCAGTCCTCTGTGTCCCCCTTTGTGGGCTAACTTAGAAAGAAGGTACGGCTGCTAGACTTCCCTGCTATGAGAGGAAGGACTTTGTCCCACCAGTACGCCACCCTATGGAAAACTGCCTGAATCCCACTGGCACCAAGTCCATTTTACACTGGCTAGAAGATATTTTTTTTTTTTTTTTTAATGTATCTAACCACCAATTCTGGCTTGTTCCCTTGCTTCCTTGTGTTGTTTCTTATTTCTCCCCACACATTTTAATTTCTGGCTTGCTGCTGACAGACTGGTTCACCTCCGGTGATTCTGCTCAGGCCTTGACTTGTCTCTCACAAAGTGCTTCCTATGCAGCCAGATGCCTCAGAGCAAATTCGGAAGCTGCTTGGCATTCCTTTGCTCTGAGTTTGTCCCCTTGCCTTCCAGAGGACCTTGAAGATAATTAAGCAAAGTCTGTTTACTTGAGCTTTGTGCGGAAGCAGGTGAATTTCAGCCTTAATGAATAATCGTCTCTGTAGAAACCCTAATCAACGGTATTTTTCTTGATACTAGTGGAGAATGAGGCATTTGGCTGGGTAATAAACATAACATTAAGTGAGAAATCACTTGCTGGTTATCCTTGTTAGGTAATGCATGCAAAAGAAATGAGCTGCATAACAAAATTGCTTCACTTGCATCACGCAAAGAAAACACAGGGATACAGAGGTGCTAATAACCGAGAGCACCAAAATGAGGGTAAAACGGGGTTGAATTGTGTCAGTTCTTTCTCTCAAAAACCTCTCCTCTGGCACAACAACAAAATTACTCTGAAACCGTCAGAACCCAGTATTTTCTTATGCAAGTCCCCTTTGATCTAACAGAAGGAAATTTCTTTCCTTTAGGTGAAATTTGGAACCTGTAATACTCCCAAGCCAAGCTTCTTCGATTTTGAGGGAAAGCAGAAATGGTAAGAGGAAATCCTTGTAATTCCCAGCAATTTCTGGCTCTGCTTTTTGTTGCATCTTGTCTCATCCGTTGACAGATTCTGCACCTAGAGGATGTCAGCTCTCAGAGTCTGTCCCGGAACTGGCTTTAAAATCCTTTGTTTAATAGGGAAATGTTTGCTGCTATGCCTGATGCAGACGTGAAATAGCAGACTCCTGTACTTACCTTATTTATCCAGTATTAGCCTGCGTGCAGCAGAAATTTTGTGAAAATAGCTATAGCTTTACAAACAGCTTTACTTTGTGAACACAAAGTCATGTTACAGCCTGGATCACGATCCCCTGAAAGATCCTTTCACAGAAGAGTCCTGCACTGACAGTGGCCATTCATGGCTTCAGAGAAAAGTCGACCACTTCAAACCGAATGAAAGATGGCTTTACACCCCCTAATATGTTTAGATAAATCTTGTCACTGTGTTCCACTAATAACAGTATAAAAACATACTGTGCTGTCTCTGGGTGGCTCGCTGATGTTTTGCTGTCTCTCCTAGGGAGGCTTGGAAAGCCCTGGGAGACATCAGCCCTCATCAAGCTATGCAGGAGTATGTTGCTACGGTGAAAAAACTGGACCCCAGTTGGAATCCACAGGTACGAAACATGAAAATATTGTTCAGAAAACAAACCAGCATTTGTCTTTGTAAAGCTTACGACGGTTCAGCTTCACACAGATGTTAATTGCTGCATGGCAAGCTTCATTTTGAGCAGATTAAAGTCTAAATTCGTTTTTAAAACTCTCCTTTTGTTATGACTAAAACATGAAGAACCATCTCTTTCATTCATAATTATTTTCATTACAGCGAGCGCATGCACAGGGTTCGTTTGGCTATAGTGATCTAATTTATTTTGCTTTTATTGGTTCATGCTGTATTTAGCATGTAAAGATACTTTTTATCCTTTTCTTGTCTTTCTCTTTTCAACTACTATTTAAATGTTGATCAATACAAAGTAATCTCCATGAAAGTGACATGAACTGAATGATCAATTCTAAAAATGTTTCCTTTTTGTTTCGATGCAGCAAATTACCAAATCTGATTATGATTAGGTACTCCAACATAACAAGTGTATTTCTAAGTCCCGTATGTGTGTCTTAAAGGGGGACTGTACTGTCATTTTAATTAATCTGTCTTTCATCTACCAGGTTTATTACTTGATTGAATATTTAAGGCTATCTCCCTGTTTATAGAATGATTTTTATACAATTTTTGAGAGAGAAGTGCTCTTCAGAAGAAGTATTGCCTTTGATTGGAGGTAGAGTGGAGATATTTTGCTAACAGCAAAACGCTGAAAGCATGGTAATTTCTTTTCACAGTAGAAAACTGATTCATTTTTGGTCATGTGCTTTGGAAGCAAAGTCTTGTGTGAGCACAAACATATGAATCAAAAATTTGATTCTCAATTCTCTTCTGGTGCTGTTCTGGAGACTTAAGAGTAATTGTTTTTTCTTCACTAGTTCATGTTTCATGGCGTTGATCCTGTTTTTACAGCAGAAAAATATTGTCATTTAGAGGAAACCCATTTTAATACCCTTGGGGAAAATACTTTTATATGCTGTGCAGTGCACTTAGCAATATGCTAAGTGCAGTTAGCAAAATCTAACTGCATGCTGTGTAAATTCTTGTCCAAGCTAAAATTCTCATACAGAAATAAAATAATTTTAAAAGAATCCATGTACCATCCTGAATAAAGAAAGTGGTTAGCAGTGTAAAGTGAGACCTGATAGCAGCCTTCCAGTACCTAAAGGGGGCCTGCGGAAAAGCTGGGGAGGGACTCTTTATCAGGGAGTGTAGTGATAGGACGAGGGGTAGTGGTTTTAAACTGAAAGAGGGAAGAGGGTAGGTTTAGATTAGCTATTAGGAAGAAAGTCTTTACTCTGAGGGTGATGAGACACTGGCACAGGTTACCCAGAGAAGTTGAGGATGCCCCATCCCTGGAAGTGTTCAAGGCCAGGCTGGATGGGGGATTGTGCAACCTGGTCTAGTGGAAGGCGTCCTGGCCCATGGCAGCGGGTTGGAACTAGATGATCTTTAAGGTCCCTTCCAACTCTAACCATTCTGTGATTCTATATGAATATGCGTTAAACCATTAAAAAAAAACCCAACAAAACAAAAACAAAACAAACAAAAAACCAAGCCAAAACACCCCAGCTCTTTCCTGAATTTTTATGGGTAGAGCTTCTGTTTGTGAAAAGACTTCTTATGCATGGTGAGAAGCTTAGCTTTGGGTTCTCCTTTCACTTTCTTGCCTCAGAGAAATACTTACTGTCACAGGTGTGACCTTCAGGTTACAAAGGTGTCAGCTAGGAAAGTGGAATAATCTGTTAGTTTTTTGTTTGGGTTTTTTTTTTTGTTTTTTTTTTTTTAAGTTAAATGCAAGATATAGTAAACAAAGAATGGTTTGCAGCACTGCTCCTCCCCTCTTCCCCTAGGGTGAGGAATGAATGCGAGTAAGCACATTTCTTCCCATAGCTGTCCTTGCATAAGCCTGTCCCCAGGACTCAGCAGAAACTAGACTGTGCTGGGTAATGCTGTTGTGCCAATGTGTTTTCTCATTCATGTGTTGCTCCGTCCTCCCTTTTTGATGCAAGAACTGTAGGCTTGCAGGAGGAGAGCAATGCCCGAGCTTGAACAGAAGTTTCTGTGAAGACGGCAGGGCTGAGTTGTTAGAGTGGTTTAAAGAAATGTGATTTTTCTTTCTTCAGATGCTTTTGTTGCAGTGTTGCAATAGACGTTTTTCTCTCGCTCATGTAACTATGCATATATTTCTCGGCTTTTTGAAGCCAATTGTTTTATTTTTTTTTTCCTCTGTGTGGTCTCAGTGCACGGAGCTATAATGCTGAGGAAAATTTGTAGGGTGTTTCCTGGTTTACTGTCCCTGCACCCCGCTGCACAGCTGCCACATTTCTTGTCATGACTCTTTCCTTTTTCTGCGCCTTGCCTATGACTGAGCTAGGAACTTGTTAAGAGATCTCAGCAGTTTGCATTGAAGGAATATGCTCAGATGCAGAAAGGCCTAGCAGTGGAAGTTACATTAGTAGAGAATGTAATTTAAAAATTAGCATTAAAAACCAGGTGACATTGCTTTCTTTAAAAGAAGTTATCTGTCCTTCCTGCTACATCTTCCTTTTAATTCCCCTTTCACATGACGAAAATGCTATCAGGAGTCCTCTTGCTCTGATCTGTCTCGCTGCTCTGTACTTCTTGGGTTTTTTCCCCCTACCTTCTGGAGCCACGAGAGGGAGCTCTGTTCTTTAAAATGATGAAGATGCTTGTCTCAGGGGATGGAGATAAAATAGCTATTTTAGTCTTCAAATTTCAAATGGGATTTATAGAAAAGATCTGAGGGTGCGTTACAAGGTGCTTCATCACTGTCATTGTGTCTCCTTTACATGCTCATCTGCTGGGTTCCTTTGGATTTTTCTTACCTTCAGCAGATCATGAATGAAATACTCCCAGTATTTGGTTAAAAGCAGTATAAAATGCTTGGTACAGATTGGAAAAGTTCGGCTTTCAGATCATTATGAATCATAAATAGTGATTACAGTACAAAGGTGTTGAATTTCTCTTTGTGTGGGTTCATTAATTTGTTATTGTAAAGCTTTCTCAATATTACCTACATATTTTTTCTTCAACAGTTTGTCTCATCCCTTAAAGTTGTTCCTGTGTGTTCTCTTAAATACTCCTCAGCCTCCTGTTTCCTATATTTGCAAAGGGTTTTTAATATCTTGATCCTTTAGTATTACATATGTAAACTTTAAAACTTATGAAAAAGATAAGGTGTTTCTAGGTTCACTTTTTTCCCAGCAGAGTTGCTGCTGTTCTGCAGCTTTCAGGCTGTCAATATTTTTCTTAATAAATAGAATGGAACTGAATGCACTATTTCTTATGCAGTCCAAATAGATCCACTTCTTCATTCCTTTTTCTTGATTCTTCATTGATTCATTCTTTCATATTGACCTTGCAGTTCCTGTATTAGTACATTTTCAGCATCAGACTGTAACTGCTATAATTTAGTAATCTCCGCTTGTTTTGGATGGGGGAAAAAAAAACCAAAGTAGAAGCATTCTGATGTAGTAGGAGCACCCTGAATTTGTGTTCAGAAGCAATGAGAATACCAGTAGCAGCCAAAATCTGACCAGCTGCTTCCTACTTCTCCCATGGAGTTTGGAGTACCTGTACCTTGTTAGGTGACAACTGAGTGTGGAGAGGCAGTGGCACAGCTGCTGTCTGCTCTGTGAGGCTGGTGTGCCACTTTTGACGGTAGAGGCACATCTTTTGGCTTGTCTCTGTGGCTGTTTCCAATGTGGTTTAGTTTCTTCTTCACCCTTGCTGCTAGCAGGTTGTCTGACAGTCATGCCTAATCTTTTATTTCAGAGCTTTGTCTAAAACCTGGAAAGAAATTATTATACTGCATTTATTTTCAGCTTTTTTTTTTTTTTTAATGAATATTACAGGCAAATAACGGTTCTATTCAAAAAAAGTACAATACTCCATTTATTTTAAGCTTTTTTTTTTTTTTTTTTTTTTGGCTAGGAAATCTTTAAAATAGCAAATAACCTAAAGGATATTGAGGAGAGATCCATTGTCTGTACATTCATGAAGCTACAGGAATCTCCTTGCTCTATTTATCTTAAACCAAAAGTCTAGAACCAATAATCACAATTGCCTTTCTGGATGCTTTGCAGTTACGTCTTCCTGTGTTGGCATGGTTTTATTGTGTTTTGTGTCGTAGGTTTTGTTCCTCTTCCCAAGAAAAGCTCTTAGTAGGAGGTCAGGACTATAGTTTTCCATGCTTGTCTGCGTTCTCCTTTTGATGCAGTCTTCTTTCGTCATCTTCTACCTTTTAGCGCATCTTTTGTTTCTTGTTCTTTCTTGTGAGTCATTCCTTTCAGTCTGAAGTTCCAGGCAGTGGAAAGGTAATTGCTTGGACCAGCTCAGCTCTATTTGCATATTTCAGAGACATCACCTGTCCTTCAAGTCTATTCACTCTTCCTCCAGAACAGAGAGTAATTTATGAAGCAATTCTTTTGGGTTCTCTATCCTTAAACAGAAATGTTTCATGCCGTCAACACATCTCACTGCTTTGGGTCCTTTAGAGAGGTATATGTGTCCTGGCTGCATCGCTTCTTATACGTTCACCTGTTGTCCTCCTGCTTTACTGGCAGCAAATGACATGTTGCTTTCGGTGGCTTTTGCTGATGTGTGTGTGAGTTTGGCAATGATACTCATCTGCTCTCTCTGCCAGCCACCTGCAGCTTACTGCCTATGTGTGCTCCTGCCTCTGAGCCTTCTCTCAGGCTGTGGATCTGCAGTACCCGCTGTTGTGGTGCTGTCCTTTGCTGTAGATGGTAATATTTAGCATGGGATAAAGCACTGAGCAGGGAAAAAAGAGGTGTTTGGGAGAAAGAAAAAGTAAGCTGATGTAGGAGCATCGTGAAGTCTTGCATACAGCTTGGAACAGATCCCTTGTTATATGAAAGAGTAAGTGGTAGCTCCTCAACAGAATGGTTGGAGAAGGAAATAATGGAGGCAGAGGGTTTTATCGTCAAACTAAGACAGATTTCTAAAGTAGGAAGCTAATATGCAAGCACG